AGTAACACACAAAGCATGCTCCAAGTAGATAAAAAGCATTTTTTTAAAATTTTATCAAATTGATCTGTACAAAAGTTAGCATTGCTTGGTCAGAAAGTAGCGAAACACAGCAGGCGAAGGTCAGCAAATATCTTTCTGAATTTAATGCCAAAAAAAAAATAGATTGCATAAAAATGAGTTTGCTGTGGGTCCCACCCCCACCCTCAGAAGGAGATATGCTAAAAGAAAAAAAAAGACAGTTTTTTTTCCTCTAAAAAAAAATAGGAAAAGTAGAAAAATTTAAAAGAAGCAAACTTCTCAAACGTGAGTAAATGTACAAAGTCTCCAAGGCACAAGTTTCTGTGAAGTAGCCGGTTACACACAGCACAAGGCGAAGCAGGGCAGTGAAGCAGGTGTTGTTTTCTAACTAGGAACCTGGGCAGGTTAGTGGAGGAGGCTTTCCCTTCACAGCTTGGTAAGTAGCGCCTGGTGCCAAAGAGCCAAGATTATCGTGGTTCTGCAGCTGCCAACTCGCAGGAAATTCTGTCTTCTACCGCTTGGCACCACTGAGGGCAGAACTGACATTCCTGTCTTCCAATGCCCAACCTGATGCTGGTGCTGGGCGTTTTGTTCTAACCAGACCCCAAGAGGTAATCATTTCCTCCCGTGCCTGGTAGAGGCCTCCCGGGCCATCTGAAGGCCAAGGAAAGAGATGTGATGGGGCGCTGAACCACTTCCCTCCCGTCCTTTACAAAACAAGCTTCCCTGCTTTCATTCTGTCTTAAATTCTACTCTCCGCGCAAATGACTTCATTAATTAAAGATAAAATAATACAGAACATAAATACATCTTCAACAGCTTTCAAAACAGACATGTTTAAGCCTTAAAATAAAAATTACGAAAAAAATAAAAATAAACACAAGAAGTGTTTGTCTCAGCCAAACCTTGCTGGGAAGAACTGTGGTAATGAGAAACCCCTCGATCTCAGATCGGTCCCAAGAGATGCCCGAGTGGCTGTATCCCGTGCGTCCACGGATGTGCTTTCACCATGGGAACACCATCCCTTGATTCCAGGGAGTTCTTGGTTGGGCTGGTAAGAACCCGAGGCCCCGTCTCTCCTTTGTCCTTAGCCATAGCTATCTTCTCTTTCACTGAGATGCAAAACCAAGGAGCTGGTACCCACTCATCCAAACCAGAGAGTGACAGGCTGGCTGTCTTGGAAATAACCAGTTACCTCAGAGAGAAAAGAGGAGGAAAAGAGAGCTCTGTCCCCTGGCAGAAGTTTGGATATCCAGAGGCAAAGGGACACAGGGTGACAAAGCCTGGCTTCCTGCAGATTCAGCAGGCACTTGACGGAGCGAGGCTGTGCTGGCTGCCTCCACCCTCTACCGAGTACGCTTCTGGAAGACCTCAAAGACCTGGCTATACTTCGTGGACACTGAGTCCTCCGGGATGCAGCAGCCTCAGGGTCGGGTCAGGGTGGTGTACACAGGTTGGTCCCAGTTGCTGCTGGGGCTGTGTGCGGGTGGCATGGAGAGCCCATTGAGCAGTGGTGAGGCATAGGGCCGGCGGGATGAGTGAAAGTAAGGGTATTGGTAGAGGCTGGGCGGGTAGCCAGGGTAGGGGCTGTAGTAGTTGGAAGCCTGCAGGTCAGTGTAGTCACACTGTGCACTGGCGAAGGAGCTGGCAGCCGTGGCAGAAGCAGCTGTGGTGACACTGGCCTGGGCACTGTAGGAACCGTAGTCAGCATGGCCAGGTGAGCCATGTGACTGGTCATTGTAGTGGGTGGGACTCAGCTGCTCCGTCTTGATATGTGGCCGAAGGGGTCCTGCCTCTGTGGGCGAGGCTGAAGCCGAGGGAGCTCCCTTGTGGGCCCACACAGGGGATGCTCCTATGCCAGTTGCCCCGGAGTGGGAGTAGGAAGTGCCCCCATAGGAGCCAGAGGCAGTGGCCTGGCTGGGCTCTGTGGGCAGGGTTGAGTGGCCATTGAGGGGCAAGTACTGGTCAAACTCGTGAACATCGAAGGTATCCATGTTACTGATAACCTCGCTGCTGAGCTCGGAGATGTCCACATTGCTGAAGTCGATATTCTGGCGACCGCTGTCCACTAGGCGGCGCCCTTCCAGCCTTAGCTCTTGCTTGCCACTGTTGGCCTGATGCAGGTCAGTCTTGGGGGTGGTGGGTGGGGTGGGCGGCCCATGGGTCTGGCCTGAGGAAGAGAGTATATTTCAAGGATGAATGCCCCTTCTGTGGGACCAGGGTGGAGCTGGTGGGTGACACCAGGAACCCTGGTAACTGCCACAGGTACGAATCAACAGCTTTTTGTTTCCTTACCTTCCCAGAAATTCCGGCAAACTCAGACCTAGCCCTCACTAACTGGCTGAGAAAATTCCGTTAAGCACTGTGCTGTGGGAAGACCCAAGGCCCCTCCCTGAAGACCTGGGTGGGGGATGGAAGGTGGCCAGCCAGCCCCACCAGAACTAGCATTAATGGGGCACTCTTGGAATGCCTGGCCCTGGGCACAGGACCAAGCTGAACCCACACAACCCCGTTCTTCCCCATCACAGCGGAGTAAAGGGAAGCTCAGGGCCTGCCTCCAGCTTCACCGAGGCTGCTTGGTTGCTGGGACCCCACCCACCAGCCTGATTCTGAAACTGGGGTTGTTGTCCCATGCTACTGTCATTGAAGAGTGGAGGCAGGCAGCGAGGAGTCCCATTGAAGATACACATCTTCAGAGTGCTGGATGGGCTACTCAGTCCCCTTCTTTTGAGTATCAGAATTAGCTATATCCAGAGGCTTTTTCAGGGGGCTAAAGAAAGTCTGGCCCTCTGCCCATAACAAGGGAAGGCCTTCCTACACTCCAGGTCAGTCCCACTACTACCTACCCCACGCTAAGGGTCCCAGAGCCTACCTGTGTGGTCACTGTGGTGGTGTGTGTCGCCGAGGACTGCATCGGCTTTGTACATGGGACCACCAGGGTGGTGGCCCAGTTCCGTGCCAGAGTCCGAGTCGCTCCGGCCAGCCTTCACACTCTTCCTTCGCCGTGGCTGGTACTTGTAATCTGGGTGGTCTTTCTTGTGTTGGACACGGAGCCTCTCAGCCTCCTCCACGAAAGGACGCTTCTCGCTTTCACTCAGCAAGCTGCAGAGAACACAGTAGGGCAAGGATGTCCCCAGAGCTGCAGGGCTGCCAAGGGCCCAGGCAGCACCAGCACACACACTACTGTGGGAGTTGGCCTGGAGTCAGACAGCAGGAGAACACGATAGGGTGCTAGAGAGGCCAAGGCACCCTCCAGTGGGTAGCCTGCCTTCATGCTGAGCATCCTGGCACCAGAAGGGCAGAGCCCACTATGCCTGTGTGGTGAAGACTGTGTTCTTTAGAGTCCAAGGAACAAGCAAGACCCCAGTTCTCCATCTTTCCGGAGCGCACCCCTTTCCACCCGTATTTTCTCGTCCATCCCATACCCTCTCTCAGCCACAGTGGAAACTCCACTTTGACAAAGGCAAGGCTTCCTGGGAGCCAGCTGTGGCTGGCTTTGCTGCCCTTTCAGCCTCCAGCTTCCATCAGTGAAGGCAAAATCCAGGAGACTGTCCTCTGTGCACACACACCCTAAGACTCTCGGCCTTGTGCCTCTGCCTGCGGGCAGAGCTGACTTGGGGCAAGACAACCTCGCCATCCTGCTCAGCCCAGTGTTACTAAGGAGGACCTGTTTCAAATCAAGCAGAAGCATCTGGGAGGTTTGGGATGTGCTGTGCGGAGGAACTTCTGTGCTCCCGTCTTCTTCAGTAATGCCTGCCTTTCTCATGCCAGCGTGCCCACTGAGCCTTTCTCACTTCTCACCCACTCTTCCCTTCCTTCATTCCAGGTTGATGTGGCCTGAGAGAAATAGTACCTGGGGACAGTCCCAGCCAGCAGACTTGGACTACTCATGACTATCCTGAGTCCCAGCGTTTGCCCAGGACAAAGCAGCTTGATGCCTGCCCCTATCTATCTATGCCTACGGGCCATGGTGGGCCAATCAAAGCTGGGGTTCCCAGGTCTGTAGTTCTCAGGATAGCCCAGGAAGGGATAAAGTGCTGGACGGTGACACTCCGGGTACTGGTCTCCGTGCAACTCCAAGGTCCCACACCTGGTGTCCGGTCTCTGTTGACCAAGGTATTTTTCCACCAGACCCACCCTGGAACCATCCCATGAGCACTGCCCAAGCTTGGGCACGACGCCACCTCCTTCAGTCCCTACGTTCCCTTCCTCAGCCAGAGTGTCATGAGCCCCCACACTCACCGCCACAGCTTGCCCAGGGTCTTGCTGAGCTCTGCATTGTGGAGATGCGGGTACTGGTCCGCCAGCTTGCGGCGCGCCGCCTGTGCCCACACCATGAAGGCGTTCATGGGCCGCTTCACGTGTGGCTTGGCCTTGAGCGTGCCGCTACCGCCGCCGCGCACGGGCATAGGCACTAGACTCCAGTCATAGCCCTTAAGCACCTGTGACACCGCATCACGGATGCAGGCAGGGAAGCGTTCGTCTGCAGCCTCAGCAGTGTCCCCTCGGCCGCCGCCCCCAGCACGGCCCAGGCCCTCCGATCCCTCAGGCGACGGCGGCGCGTCGGAATCTGAATCCTCCACGTGTGACATGGAGCTAGCAGTGCCGGACGGGCTGCAGGGCGGCTGGGCGCGGGCCTCACTCATGTCCAGCATCGGGGCCACGCGCGGAGGGGTACGCAGTGGGGATGGACACAGTGGTCGCGCCCTGTCACACTATGGACGGACACTCTGGAATCCAAAGTTGCCACGCAGGACTCAATCTTTGTCCCCGTCGCAGGCGCCCAGCTGCCGCTCCTCCGTCGCTGCAGCTCAGTCTCAGTTCTGGGACCCGCAACAAGTTTCTTTAAGCGGTGGCCGAAGCCCCGCCCCTCCCGGCCCGGGTTGGCAGGCAAGCCCTCCTCGAGGCGGAGCTTCGGTGCCCCGCCCCGAATCCAAGGAAGAGGACCCCGCCCCGCCCTCCGCACCACGTGGGCCAGGCGCCCCGCAGCCTGATCCCTCAACTGAGGCAGGGTCAGAGGGCTAAGGGTGACTTACTACCCAGCGTCCTGTTCTCTGCAGCGTGGCTCGACTTTCGGGCGGCTGGCGAGGATGCTAATCCACAAGGTTCCTGAGCCCAACATCCCTCCCTCCTCTCTGAATCCGCTATTTCAAACAAATCTGGGTTCTGCCCGCCGGGTGGCGCAATGACAGGAGCCACCAGGTGACCCTGGTAACTCGCGCACCTAGGTGAGCTGGAGGACCCCCGGGGCGGGACAAGGGTGGGAGGCGGGGGGGGGGGCGCTGGGCGGGGCTGCGCAGGTCGCGGCTGCTGAGTCCCTAGGGCGGTCGGCGGATGGCCCGGCCGGACGCGGGGGCCCGGGTCCTTCCGGGAATGACCTGCGGCAGGGGCGCGGAGGTCCTGGCGGGCGGGCCTGGGTGGTCTGGCGGAGGCGGAGGCCACGCTGGGCCACTTCGCCTCAGTGCCTGGAGAGAAGGAGAGTGCTCAGGGTTGGAAAGGGGACGTTTCTCCCAAGGCCAGCGCCAAGCCGCCAGTCCGAGCCGCGCCCGAGGTCGCCCCCGCGAGTTGGCTCCTGGCCCGGAGGTCTCCAAGGGCTGCTAGAATTCTCTCGCCAAACTCAATGGAGGCCACGTACCTGCCACCCTAAGCTGTGACTCTCGAGAGCCAGGTGACCCTAAACGAGGCCGCCTGTTTTCCAAACCAGTGGATGTGGCAGCACGGAAAAACCGTGGCTCCTGCCGTATCACCTCGGGGGGCTCCTTTTTCCAGAAAAGACTATTTGAGAAGTCTGTGAACCTGGGGCTGGGGGTGTGTGTGGGGGTTCTCACCGCGCTTAGTGCAGTACTGGCCTCCCATCCTCACCTCCAACCAAGGCACCAGTGGCGCTCTAATCTCAGGGTCTGGGATCCCAGCCTCAGATTTTGCCTGGAAAGGGCCAGTGCTGTGCAGTTGTGGCCTAGGGTACCTACAGTTCCTGCCTGGAAGAAGGAAGTCCAAGTCCCTGTCACCTGCTGAGGGGACACCCAAGGAAGAGAAGCTACCTTAGTTGCGACTTTATTCTAGTTGTGCTTCGTGATGTGTGTGTGTGTGTGTGTGTGTGTGTGTGTGTGTGTGTGTGTAGAACTGGCTGTCATTGTCGGCTAAACTCCTCCTTTATACTGACTGCCACCTGCTGAGAGAAAGACCCTTCCCTATATACCTACGGTGCTGTCCTCTCCTTTGGGGAGCCCTCCATTTAGGGTCTTTTGGGAAAGAAGTGTCTAGAAGGCGTAAAGACCCCCGCTGTCCGGTGCACTGTTATAGCGCCATCCATACCAGCAAAAGAAGTCTACGTGGCCTAGCTGAGGATGGAGATCAGACCAACACCATGTTCCTTTCAGGGCTGACCCCTAAAGTCTCAGGTCCCAACCCTCTGTGCCTCCATGGATCCATGCTCTCAGGCTTCAACTTTGCTGAGAAAGTATAAAACTGAGTTCTCATTCGGTACCCCAGGCTCTCAGTGCAACTTCTTCCTGGTCCCCTCCCGTGGGGCCATAATATACTTATTCTCAGATCCCTAGACTGCTTGGACCCTAGGAAGCAAGGAGGTGGAGCTCATCCTGGCTCCACCCACAGTTTGAACCTTCCTCTCACTGGGGTCTCTAGTGACTCCCTGACCCCTAGAGGACTGGTAGTCAGCCCTGTGAGTTATGCAGCTATAGGCCTCTATGGGCTGCCAGGAGCTGACCCAGCCCTGCCCAGTACATTGGCACACTAGTGGTATCCTGAGCTCTTCTTGGCTATGTTCAGGATTGAGCCCAGGACAAGTCGTGGGCACACAGGTGGTGCGCCAGGCCCATGCTAGGCCGTTGCTGGGTCGTCTTGAAAGACCAGTACATCCTCCAGGTCTTTAGACTCTTCTCACACTGACTGGCTCACATCCTTGGCCACTAGACAGACCCTGAACAGACAATGAAGCTGTGACCAGGGCCTCCTTAGGACCAAACAGTAGGAAACTGCTTCCTAGTCCCTGACCTGATAATGCAGAAACCGACAGTTCTTTAAAACTTGGACAGAAACTATAGATACTGCCTCTCAATTTACCTGTGGGCCACTGGACCTTGTTCAGGTGTGGACCAGTTCCTCCTTCTCTTAACTTTTCTTCCTGCCCCCACCCTCTTTCATGGCTGGTCCAAGTTTTGCCCCAGTCTGCATGACCTTGCCCGGCCCCGAACTTCCCCATTATCATGTGGGTTTTGCAGTTCTAGAGTGAGGATCTCATTGGCTAACCTTGTTCCAAGTGCCCATTCCTGGACCAATGGATCTGGAGCCAGGGGAAGGGTTGTTGAGTAGGTCTGTAAACCTCAGGTTGGCTGTGTGTCCTCAGCCCCGGCCTGGTTCTCCTTCTGCCCATGCACCCAGAGCTATACATCAGGCAGCTGGCAGGGCATCCCAGCACGGCCATGGAGATGTTTAATTGCCGACACTGGCCTGGAAGAAACAAAATGTGCAGGCAGTGAAGGGTGAACTCAGAGCAGGACTCCTGTGGACTGTTGCCCTGCTCACTGTGTGTCCAGCGGCAGGAGAGGGGCTCAGTGGATCCACTTGTCACTCCAGAAGGCTGGTCTCCCAGTAACATGCTCAGGGCACTGGGCCAAGCACTTGGCCTCCCACCCCCTCTTCGTTCAATGGTCTCAAAGATGCTGTCAGAGCTGGCTGCAGTGGAAATTGCAGTTGGGGTCACAGCTAGTCCCTCAATAGACCTGTCATCTATAGGGGAGCTGCTGAGGTCAGTTTGTACCCTCTCTGCTGCCCCATGGTCCATCTCTCAGACCCACAGGGGCAGTTTTCCTGCCACACCACATCTGCAGCCTGCTCCTCTGTCATGCTATGCTATGCTGTGACTGCTGCATGCCTCTGGCTCCGGGGAAGAATGAGAGCACTCCCTCCAGCCCAGCAGCATCTTTGGCATTTGATGCTCCTTGGGACACTCTGCTGGGATGTTCTCAGTTTTAAAGGATTCTGGAAAGGGTCTGTATTTTAACCCATGCAGTGGAGACCAACACATTTCTGCTGCAGTGTGACAGACAGGTGTGTGCAGAGGCCAGAGATGTGTTGGGGAAAGTCATTGTTTCCACCATTTTGCCCCATTTCCTCTGGGACTCCTGGGTCCCTGAATTTCAAGCTGGATTCCTTCCTTCACCCTATCAGGGTCCTGGGTGGAGCTGACTCCCAACAGTATCCAGAGGGTCTTGGCACTTCCTCCTTGGCACAGGGCAAAGCCAAAGCCAACCTCAGTAGGGTCCTCATGGTGCTCAAGCAGCTTTTCCTGGGTGGAAGCAAACGCCGTGAAGTCCTCCACAAAGGTGCAGGCCTCTGTGACTGGGATGGTGAAGTCTGGTGACAGAGTGTCAGCGTGGGCTAAGCTGGACTTGAAAGGCTCATTCTGACACTAGACACCTGGATCTCCAGACCGGTGCCTGGTGCTCATCCTGGGGACCCCACACCACCCTGATCCTAGCCTTTCCCCATCACCTACTCTATGCCATTAGCTCCCCAGAAATGAGGCATGAGGGCCTAGGTAGAGCAGGTGTTGGCAAGGACTCACTCAGAAACTCACGGGCTACTTGGTTTCTGTGTTGGTCCTGCCAAGCGCCAATTCTCAGATCCAACAAGGTTTCCTGCCCATCCATGATGCCCACAGTTGCAACTTTACTAAACAGAACCCTGTTTCCTGAATAAGCAGTAAAGCAAATGACTTAGAATAAAAATGTAACAAAATAACCCAACAGCCCAAACCTCTTTTGCCTTGATTGAAGGTTCCAGATACCTATCAGTGCCTGGGGGCAAATTAAATACACCACTAAATGGCTTTCTGCTGTCTGTCTTGCATCTTTTCCCTTAAATGTGGTGAGGGAGGTTTCAGTTAGATCCCACTAGGACATACACTGTGGTTTGGGCTGTTTGTTAAGCAGCATTAGTGGCTGATACAGTGACAGTTCAGCTCTGTGGTCAGAGTCCAGGCCCCCCAGGTTCTGACCTCTGGGTTGGGGCTTTCCAAGAATTCTTCCAGTTTGGAACACAGCTTCCAGCCGTGTTCTGCTGCGGGGACCTACCCCAGACAGCTTGCTGCTATTCTACCTTGAAGTCACAGCTGCTGCTGGTACTCAAGGTCTCATCCCCCTGGGGTGCAGGGGGAGCTGAGGGTGTAGCAGAGGAGGTACAGTAGCCAAGAGAACAGCCGCTGAGTCACAGCTTCAGACCAGCCAGCAAATGGCATGGCACCTGCTCACTGCCGCACCTGCTGGTCTCTGACGGGTTTTGGCCAGTGGACAGTGGCGGGTGTGTGTGTGGGAGGGACCAGTCCAACTGACCACTCTTCTGGGCGAAGGCAACAGATGTGGAACCTGCCTCCTTCCACAAGCCGACTTCAAGACATGAAAAATTGGGGTAAATGAAGGGTACACGATTATATTCAGCCAAAGCTGGGTTCTCGGGGAGCCAGAGACAGCTGCAATTGCACGTCAGGGACAATAGCCCTGAGACAGTGGGGACTGCCGGGCTGGGGTGCCTGGGGACAGCTGGACGAGGTGCTGACAGGGGCTCATTCCTCTGTGAAGCCGTTCCGCAGCTGCTGGGAGAGCTGCCAGCTAGCAGGCAGTGTGCCCTGTCCCCATACCCATCTTAGCCACTGTGCTGGAGGCTTCAGGCAGCTGGGGTGCAGAACCCAACTAGGAGTGGGTGAGCACCAAGCCTCCAGAGACACCAGCCGGGTCCTGTGCTGGCAGTCCCTCTTGGGACCCCTCCCCATTTTTCTTTTTCTCTTTTGGGAGCTCTCTGCCAGAGGCCTCAGGGCAGCCCCTCCTCATCTGAGTTCTCTCTGGCCAGCCGGCTTGACTCTTTCTGTAGTTTTTGGCTTAAAGTGATGTTTAGAAGCCCACTTCATGCTGGTGGCCTCTGAGGTGACAGGAGCAAATCTCAGGGTGCCCCGTGGCCCTCTCCTGTGCATGAGCCTCCAGCTGCTTGGCTCTGTCTAGGTTCTGCTTTCTATGTGGAGCACAGCTGAATGTGGACCTAGGAGCTCATCTGCCAGATGTTCGACACACAGACAAACGTGGTAGAAGCCACGACTTACGCTGACAAGTAGAAACAATGCCTTCTAGGTGATCGCGAGACTTCCCACTTTAGGAGCTCATTCGTGGTTTTTGTTTACTTTTTTAAAAATTTATTTCGTTGAAGCCAGGTATGGCGATACACACTTATGATTCTGCTACTTGGAAGACAGAGGCAGGAGGATGGATTTAAGTTCAAGGCCAGGCTGAGCTACATACTGAGACATATTTTTAAAAAAAAAAAAAAGAAAGAAAAGAAAAAGGGAAATTCACATAAACTAAAGGATTCAGTGGCATGTAGGGTATCAGCGTAATCATGTATCCATCTAATTTCAAAACATCCCAGAAGGAGTCCCCATATCTCCTTTTTTCTTCCCACCCCTTGAAATCACAAATCCATCTTTCATAATGGAAGTGCCTTTTCTACAGGTTTCTTACAACATGCCTGACTTGTCTCCACTCAAGGATTTAGGGCTCATCCGTATCATAGCATAATCAACTCCGTTCATCTTTATGGGTAAGTAATATACCATTGCTGTTTCAGTTTTTAAAACAGAGTCTTACTATTTAAAATCCTCCTGCCTCAGCACCACCAGCACTAGGATCACAGGTATGCACCATCATACCCAGCTTCCCAGTGTACTTTTGATGAAATATGGGCAGAAATGAGCAAGAACGCTAGCTAATGCCTCCCTGGCTCAACTCTGCCCTGTGTGACCTGCTTGAAAGCCAGTTCCAGACAGCATCCCAAGAAGGCAAGCCAGGGGCAAGAAACTTGAGCCACCGAGGACATGAGTTCCCTGCAGACCCTTCTGCTGGCCTCACCCACTGTGGGCAAACCCAGAGAGGAAGCCTAGAGCTGAGTCCCAGCCCCAGCTGGAGTGCTGGATGCTGGAACAAGAGGCCCATTTTGTGCTCTGTACAATGCCCCATTGTGCCCTTCTGCAGGGAGGACAATGTTACCACTGCAAGGGGAAGCTGAGGACAAAGGGCCCTTTGTGAGGATGGTCCCCACCTGAGCAGCAGCACCCAGGGCCGCACCTGATGGTAGAGCAGCCCTTCCTCTCCTTCCATCCCCTGCGCGGAGCTGGCTTCCAGAAATGACCTGGGGAAGCTGTGCAGGCCTGAACTGACTTCCCCAAACGACTCTGCTGGCCCATCCCATGCCAGTGAGAAGGAGAGGCAGGGGCAATGGTTCCTAGTGAAGGACCTGGATACAGGATACACAGGTTCCTTCCCTCAATCTCTAAAGTTTGAGACCTTGGGCGGATGCTGGCCCGTGGGAGGCCTGGCAAGTGCGAAGTATTTGTCTTATCCATTGCAACATCTGTATGGGACATACTTCACAGCTGGGCTCCCAAGGGAGTGTTTCTGAAGAAAAAGAAAAGGAAACTTAAAAAAACCAAACACTTTATGGGATGTATTTATATGCTAGTACTCCAGTATCGGGGAGACTGGAGGCTGCGAAGAGTCCTAGCAGCTGCAGACCCGTCCTTACCCAGGAGAAGTTCACTGCAGGTGTGGAGGTATAAACACTATTGGGTTGTTTGACGATGCAAACATGGGTAATTTATATGCCAAAACAGCAAGAGCAAAAAATGAGATGCTAAAGACAGATTGTTAAAAACAGTAGAGGTAATTCACAAGATAAGGCACAAGATCTCTAAGACATACAGAGTCTGAAGGAGGACTGAAGGAAATCCCGCAACTCCCCCAGCGGTGCCCGAGAACCTTTCGGCTGGTGGAACCATTGCACACACCCTTCCTCCTGCTGCAGAGCACCTCTCTAGTATCATTTGTGTGCAGGGCCCGAGTGGCCCCTAACATGAGGAAGCAGAGTTGCTATCAAGCCTGTGGCCTGTATTACCAGCACTGAGGAAGACAGAGTCATGAGGATTGTTTGTTGTCATCCTGGACTATACAGTTCAAGGCCACTGTGAGCTGTTAAATAAAATAAAATAAATAATAAAATATAAAAGCAGAGTTGCAGGTGTGTGTCTCCTTGGGATTCTGCTCAGGCAGAATCGGAAAGTCCTTGATGGCCCTCTGGCCACATACATAGATTGAAACCTCCTAGGAGTGTCTCCTAGGTCCACTGGGGTCTTTGGGGACCACAGAAAAGGAGATTTAGCTACAATAGGCAATTGGAGGCTCCAGGCTGATTTTCAGGTTTGTTCCTGCCAACTGTGGAAAAGTATGCTTTGCGCCTTCCTGGGCGGTGGACAGCCTGGGAGTGCAGGGTGAAGGGCCTGTTCTGCGCTGCCACAGGCCTGGTCATCGCTGCTACAGAGTGGGGATCCGCACTCAGGGCGCGGGTGTCTACTGGCTTCTTCACCTGACGCCTGTCCCTCTGCATAAACTGAATCCTGCACAAAACGCCACCGCTAGGCGAGACCTCCCAGAGAGGGCGTGGCGCGTGGGCTTTGGCTGCAAGTGGGTAGGCGTGTCGTCCAGGGGAGCCTGTGTGACTTTCCAGAAGTGTGGGCGGGACCTCCGTGCGCATGCGCCCAGATAGCCTGGTAATGGCTGCGCCCGAAGGGTCGCTGAGGAAACGGAAGGTCGGAGATGTGGATAAGAAGCCAGCGTCGCCACCCACGGCTGCTCGTGATCCCGTGGGCTCTCCAGCCCGGCTGCGCACTGGCACCTTCTGGCTGACCAGAATCGTGCTCCTGCGGGCGCTCGCTTTCATTTACTGTGAGTGTCCGGTGGGCGCGGGCTGTCGCCGGCATCCTGTGACCTGTCCCAACCCCTGCTCTCTTCCGGTTAGCCCCTCTGTACGCTTCTAGGACTCTGCACCACCCCAACCGTGCTACCCTTCTGTGAGCTTCTGGACCCGTTTTCTTTCTCCCGACTCCGTGGGTGCCTAAAGTTATGTCAGGTCCCACGGCGTGTCCCTGGGACCTCAACAACCCCACCTGCCTCGACGCAGCCCCACTTAGCACAGGATTAGAGGCGACGGCATCCCCACGCATGCTCCCTCTGCGTTCTCCCTTGGAGTGGCGAGAGACAGTGCTATGCAATTCTGTTCCGAAGGCCTAGGGGAGATGAGGGTCTTTAACCTGCAGCTTAGATGTAGCTTTGCCACTTTTGCCTTGTCAGCCGCCCCCCAATGAACCCAAAGGTGGTGCGGCAACCCCAACCTGGACAGCTTGGAAGGGCGCCTGGCAAAGAACCAAGGTTCTAGCTAGATTCATTGGCGGGAAAAGTGTTCTTGCTCCTAAGGTTCAGCCAGGTTAGCTCTGGAGGGAATCCCGGGTTCTGCCTAGGATCTGGCTCTGCAGGCCTTCACAGCCCATTGCAACATCCCGCACCCGCCTGAGCCTGAGGAAAGCTTAAGGAGCAGAACTGAGGGGACTGGTGGTCATGCTGATCATGCTGCTGTTTTTTCCCCCCCCCCCCCCCCGTTGTTGTTTTGTTTTGTTTTTCGAGATAGGGTTTCTCTGTGTAACTTTGGAGCCTGTCCTGGAACTCACTCTGTAGACCAGGCTGGTCTCGAACTCACAAAGATTCGCTGGCTTTTCTCTCTCTCTCTCTCTCTCTCTCTCTCTCTCTCTCTCTCTCTCTCTCTCTCATGCTGGGCTTAAAGATGTGCACCACCACCGCCCCGCTTTGTTTGAGACAGGATTTCTCTGCATAGCCTTCGCTGCCCCAGAATCGCTCTGAAGACCAAGGTGGGCTCAAGCTCACAGGGATCCATCCGCCTGCTGTGCCCCAGAGCACTGCGATTAAAGGCGTGCACCACCACACTGGGCACTGCTACTTCTTTACTTGTCTGCTATTCCCACCCACAGAGGAAGTGAGCCAGGAGATGTCATGTAGGGCCAGCTCTGAATGACTCACTATAGTTGAAGCCTAAGCCCCCCAACTGTCCAACTGTGGCTGAGAGCCTGTCCTACTCACACTGGTACCGGCCTTCCTGCGGCCATCACACAGAGTTCATGGTCAAAACCTGTGGACACCTGGCTGGTTTATTTCAAATCATCTGTGGATTTCAAATCCTCATCCTGATTCCTGTTAACTAGAGGGGTGGCCCTGGGACCATGTGAACACTGGTGGACATGGCCTAGCCTTTTAGTGAGGAGGGAAAGCTAAGAAGTGCTAAGTAAGCCAGGGCAGGGCCGGGCTAGAGCGACTGCGCTTGACGGGCCAGCCACCCTGCCTGGCTTGTGTGTGGTGCACACCACACATTTTTAGGAAGAGTCACCTCTGAGGCTTTAGGCTGTGACCATGTGGCTCTCTTGTGGAGCAGGAGTCAGGTTCATGTGCGTTTTTGACGTGTGTGACAGCCTGGTCACTTCCTGGTGCAGAGAACTAGAGTTCTTAAACAGACGGTCCCTCTGGGGTTGCCTGCCTGAGGGTCCCTCTGGGGTTGCCTGCCTGGGTTCCACTCATTCTCTCTAAAGTTAGCAGGAAAAAACACCCAGACTTATGTTGTTCTGTCCCATGCAATACTAAGGAATCACGGGGAAGTTGGTACTGGCACACTCAGAGCAAGATGAAGGGAGTCATCAAGGCGGATATGGGAAAAACAGTGGCCACTGGTGACAGTGTTGAGGACGCTCTACTGCAGATAGGCCCACAGGCTCTTGGGTGAGCAATATTGCCTTTGGTCACTGAGTACAGGAGCTGCAGCCTGAGGCAAGAGGCGGGTATTTCCAGCTGCTGCTCAGCGTGTGTACGTCATGTTCTGTTCTTTCTTACCTCATATATGTACTTGGGGTAGGTGTACTTTTTAGGTTTCCCATCTTCCTGGGTCATGGTTTTTATGGTTGTCCTTGTTGTTCTGGGCAGGAGGGACCTTGGTGGCAGGTGGGAGCCTAAATACACCATGCATATAGAGCTTACATGGAGAGTTTATTGAGAGAAGAGTTGAGAGAAGGGGGAAAGGAGAGAGAGAGAGAGAGCGAGAGCGAGAGCGAGCACTATTTGCCTCTTCAGAATAACAGCAAGAAGAGAGCAGGAGGAGGTAGAGCTTGTCTCCTACGGGACCTTTTTGCACCTGACATAGCAGCCATAGGACCCTGGGCTGGCCAGGGTGCTGCCTGAGTGCATCCCGCCAGGTGACAGGAGCCAGCATAATGCCTGAATCCTAACAGTGATGGCCCTGGGCAAACAGCAGTCCTAAATGTAGCTGCTTCTAAAAGGTTCTAGGTCTCACTGGACTCTGAGCTATACTCTGAAGTCCCTTCAAAGCGACAGGCTGTCCAGCTATGTCGCCTGAATGTTGAATTGGCAATACTTCTACTATGGAAAGCCAAGCGCATTCTGAGATATCCCCTCTTAGGAAGAGTGGGATCTACAGGTCTTTCCTTGTGCATATTGTGTCAAATACATCTGCTGCCTATGATCCCTGCACTGGAAAGGCAAAGGCAGAGAGTCTGGAGTCTGAGCCCAGGATGAGAACTACATTTGTGGTGATATTGTGTTTGGACCTGGAGTGCTAAGGCCTGGGGTTTGGCCACAGTCAACAAGAGCAGCAGCAGACAGCATTTCTGACTGCATTATAGCAGGTTGTCTGAAAAGGAGAGAGAAGAGAGACCTCGTTTTCAGTTTTCTTTCTTCTCTCTCTCTTGCACAGACACACACACACACACACACACACACACAGAGAGAGAGAGAGAGAGAGAGAGAGAGAGAGAGAATGAACATATTCTGCAAATTGAACCCAGGATCTCTCACAGAGTACAGACCATTGTCCCACAACACTCCCCCCTTTTTTTAAAAAAAAAAAACAAACCAAGAACTCTGAATCTAATGTCCTTTGTTTAGCTTTTTTCCTGTCCATTATCCATAACAACCTGTAACTAACACTCTAAACAAAGACGAACATCCATAATCCATTTTTTGAGAATGCGGGCATAGTTTTCCAGGCTACTTCCTGCTGATTGAGGGCACTGATAATCTTATGGGACCCTAAAGAAAATTTAGAATTATGGTCAAGTCCTGACTGGAGTATTCTGTGAGGCTTGACCATCTCAACCAGAAGTCTTGAAACTGTTCTGGATGTAGAACTCAGAGGAAACTCCAACAGAGGTCCTCTGAAATGTTGGATCATCAGGACCATCTGCTCCTATGGAGATTCTTCAGGGGGTCTTTCTTGATCAAACCTATTTTTTCTTAACCCAGAATGAATCCACAGCCTCTCATTTCCTGTGTAAACAAAAACAAGACCTCTTCTCCAAAGTAACATATCTTTTGACTTCAATTTTGAAGTCAAGGCATTTTCAAAATATATATCTTGAATTAATCTAGTAGGATTTATAATCAAATGTCTTTTAGTAGCTTTTGCTCTTTCCTCAGCCATCAACCAATTTAAAGACAACACAGAGGGACCCCATCCCCAGTTAAGGAGCGATACCTGCAGTTGCTCCATAGGAGTTCCTCTGGGAGGAAGATGTGGATCCTCAGTGTCTTCACTGAATGACTGCATTGCTGAGGACTCGTTCCTGTTGGGTTTATACCTGTCTAGGCTCCTGAGCCGTTGGTGCCCTTTGACTGCCTCAGCTGTGGTCACTGGTGACTGTTCCCTCTCATGTGCCCTTCTCAGTTGCTAGGGTGTCCCCTCACTTTCTAGCTTACAGGTCTGGGTCTCTTCTGGTCTCCTGCCCAGCTCTAGTGTCAATTGCTTTTCCAAGAAGCCCCATTTCTTTGGGTAGAGAATGACATGGGAACCTCCAGGCTGGCTGTTAAGTGTCTGCTACAACCTTCATAGTGGGCAGAGCTGGTTTTGCTAGAACCAGGGCATCGTGTTCATATGTGATTGCCTCTGTCTCACTGTGACCACACGAAATGCAGTGTTAGATTCTGATTGGTACACAGGCCATCCTTAGCCTCAGCTCTGGCTACCTGAGGCTGTGTGCGTCCCTTATCTCTTCCCATACCCTGTGTGTGCTCACTTAGACTCATGGGGACAGAGCTAGCCAGAGCACCA